AAAAAAACACCACATAATCATGGATCACTTGTAAGTTTTAATAGTCAGAGAACTTACCAAAGTGATATTTTCAGTGGTGGATTCAGAAATATTTTTAATCTGAGGTAGGTACAAATAAAATTTCAGGATAAACACCATCAATAAAATTAATAACTAATACAACAAATTTAAGATTTCAGGGTGAGTACGTGCACAACCTGACCTCCATGTACATCTATCACTGAATATCCTATAATCAGATACTATTTATATATACTTTATTCTATTTATATATACTATTGACACATTAATCATTTATGTCAACATTTTTGTGATATCATGATGTATGAATAAAATTTTATATTTTTTAATTTGAAAATTCAGAAATTAATGATAATAATAAAAACATATCATTGAATTAGTATATTTCTAACATGTTCATATAATGTTTGTAATGTTCCCATTAAATACTATTACGATTTGTTGGCTTTTTTAGAAAAATAATATTTCTGTCTAAAAATATGAAAATAAACAATATAAGAAAAATATTTTAAGATTTATAGCATTTATTATAGTAATCTTAGAAAACTCGTAAAAATTCTTTTAATGAGTTATAAAAAAGTATATTTTATAAAAATTCGTCGTCTAATAATTGAATAAAAAATTAAAACCTCATTAAATGTCATACATCCCTGAAGAAAAGGTTGTCTTTTATTTCATTAATATTTTTAGACGAGAACATTATTTCTCTAAAAAATTTATATTGTATTATAATTATTTTTTGAATAAATGTAAAAAGAAAAAGGAATGATATGATGACAAAAGCTTGACATCATGATGATGATGGGTGGAAAGGAAATAATTGGTTTCTTTGTTTATGATGTCAACCCTCCCTTCTGTTTATCTTTTTTTTATGATGACCAACCCTCTCTCCTATTTATCTATTTTTTAAAATTTAATTTTGCAGTCTCGATCACCCCCAAGGTTCGGTACTTGTATATAAACCCCCATCATCATCCACACCCAAACCTCAATAAACCAGAAAAACAAAGTTTCAAATTCATTGATTACAGACAACAAAGGAAAAACATTGTTAGAAAATAAAAGAAACCATGTCTGCAACCGACCAAACCTGTTTCAACCAACCCAGATTGGTCACCCAGAAGGTTCTCGCCAAGCATCAACGCGAGGGCGACGGTGCTGTTGTTCGCCGATGCATTGGAAGGTTTGTCCAGTTCTTGTTTTCTCTGCCTTTGTTTCTCAATTTTTATTTTTTTTTGATTATTTGTTTTCTGTTTCAGGAGTGAGTTGAAGTCTTTGGATCCATTTCTCATGATGGATGATTTTACAGGTTTGTGTTGCACACAAGAGTTTAATTTTTAAAATTTTAATACGGGACGATAACATATTTTCTGATTCTTTTGCCAATGAATTTTGCAGTGTCTCCACCAGCTGGATTTCCTGATCATCCTCACAGAGGTTCTTGAATTTCTTGCTATAAATGTGTTGAAAAAAAGGCTCTCTTTTTAGTGGTTTTGAATTATATTCTTCTGATGTAAATGTTGTGTTTTTTTACAGGGTTTGAAACTGTTACATACATGTTACAGGTAAAATTCTCGTTTCATTAATTTCTGCAAAAACAGCAGACAATTTGATCATTGAGAGAACTGGGGTCTTTTTTTTATTGATTTTCAGGGAGGCATCACTCATCAAGATTTTGCAGGGCATAAGGGTACAATTCATACTGGTGATGTGCAGGTGAATATTTTGTCAGTTTAAATGATAATTCTGCTCAAATTTCTGGGTTTTTCTTAAAGAATCTATTTTTGCGGCTTTGGATTAAGCAGTGGATGACAGCAGGAAGAGGGATAATCCACTCTGAAATGCCTGCTGGTGAAGGTGTTCATAAGGGCCTGCAGCTTTGGATCAATCTCTCCTCCCAAGAAAAAATGTAAGAAAACGGAGTTTTAATTCAAAATAAAATTGGGATTATGTGAATACGTATAGTTGTTTGAAAATTTTAAATTATTATTATAATTTTGTTTATATATTTTCGGAAATTTACCTTCCTAGTAAATTATGTGTCCTTGATTCTATGTCCAATTTAAAGCAACATATTGGCATTTGACTCGGGAAACTTTTGGTCATACTTTATGTCAAATTATTTTTGGCTAATAAATCAAATAATCTGTGGCCAAACACAATTGACAACAAATATGAGTTGTTTTGTTTTCTTCTGGGAAAAAATGTACTATTCTTGGCTTGTTTTATCTGCAAAAGTCGTGACATCTTCTAGAACATTTCCTGTTTGCCAGAATCCCATATCTTTTCCAATAATGCACTACAAGTCAAGCAAGTCTAGCTCTTAAACTGGATATATCATTGCAGGATTGAACCAAGGTATCAGGAGCTTTTAAGTGAGGACATTCCAAGTGCAGAACAAGACGGAGTACAAGTTCGAGTCATAGCCGGAGAATCGATGGGAGTCCAATCTCCGGTCTACACTCGAACTCCGACCATGTACCTCGACTTCACATTAATGCCGAGGTCAGAAGTTCACCAACACATCCCGGAATCATGGAATGCATTTGTATACATAATCGAAGGCGAAGGCGTGTTCGGGTACCAAAACAAGTCACCCATATCCGCCAACCATGTGGCGGTTTTCGGTCCGGGAGACGGCGTTAGCGTGTGGAACAGGTCATCGTCAAAGACATTAAGGTTTGTGCTGATTGCAGGGCAGCCATTGAACGAACCGGTGGTTCAATATGGTCCCTTTGTGATGAACACACAAGCTGAGATTGATCAAACCATAAAGGACTATCACTATAGCCAAAATGGGTTTGAAATGGCAAAGTACTGGAGATCACATTGAATGATGCAAATGCCATTATCAATAAGGATTGAATGAATCCAGCAGAGTCTACTTTAAAATTTTAAATTATTATAAATTATAAATATTTTTTTATATTTTTTTATCAATAATACATTTTTATCTCTTCTAGAATTTTTATGATCATCTTATCTATGAGATAGGAGAGGTGAAAAGGAAAGATTTCCTACTCATTAGAGCAAAAGCTTATAGAAGATTCAAAGTGCAGCTGGAGATTATATAATGTAGTTTAACACAAAGTCATCATGATGTTTTGATGGGAATGCCTTATCTTTAGTTTTAAGTATATTTTCAACAAAACCTTTATGATCTTTTCCTAGTTTTATTTTTCATGGTCCTTTTGGTATTATTTCTTATGGTGCTGGATCATATGGTAGGGTTTTATTTCTTCTCATATTTGCTGAATTTGATTTTTAATCTTATCTGTTGCACCCACAGTTGACTTTTTTTTTTCATTTATATAATCCACAATCCAACTTCAAGATCCACTAAGAGGTCCAAGGGAAGGGAGGGACTGATTTTGGTCATGATCCCATTAAACTAAAACTTGAAAGTTGGGAATGGACCATAAATTAGCATTATCATCCCTCAAATAGATATTTAAATGTATTTGAAGAGGTTAAGTTTTTTTTAAAACGAATCCTAGACATGCACTCTCACTCTATCATACTATTTCTCAATCAACCGTCTATAAATTTTCATGTTTCATACCAATGATATAATTTATGTGTTTCTATGAACATTAAGAAAATGAATCGTTTGTATTTACTAATCAAAGATTAACTTTTGAAGTTTGAAATATCATAACCCTTCAACACTTCTCTTCTTTTTAGGTGTAGTGCGTGAGTCCTACCTACTACCAGCTCATATAACCGCTCTTCTGCATATCATATACATGTGATGATTTAATCTTCATAGCTGACTTTGCTGACAAATGCAGCATTTCTTTTTTTATTTCCTTCAAAAGAAATGAACATAAGATCAAATACGAAAAGAAAAAAAAATTGTCCTAGTCTCCACAAATTAAACTTAGAGAAGTTTTCGATTGGTTCTCTTTTAGTGTTGTCGCGTTTTAACAGTAACATGGAATTGCTTCTAATTGTGAGAAAAATGTACAGCTGTAAAATGGAAATGTTAATATTAACTAACATAAATAATAAATAAATAAATAAATAAATGAAGACGGTATAATTATGTGTCGTGTAATCATTGCCTTAGAAGTAATTTTACCCGAATTGGTATAATTCTGAAAGTGAACGTTACCCCAAGGTTAACACAATTTTCCATATTTCGTACCTTCGAAATAAGAAAATGAAACTCGTTTGACATTGCTATTTTTTTTTGAAGATAAAGAAGAAACTAATTATAGAAAAAACAAGGAATTGGTGTATGAAATAGTAAATTATAGTTTGATATTTATAAAAAAAGTAAATCAATAATAAATAGAAGTTATCATAAAATCTATAGGTGTGCAAAAATACCCGATCAGGTTGACCCGACCGGTCGATCCGAACATTAAAAAATCAGATAATTTTCTAAAAAAATTTACCTGACCGATCAGGCCCGGGTCACAAAATTGTGTTTTTTCGGGTACCCAGTTACCCTAGTACCCAGTTAGCTTTTATTATATATATAATTAATTATTTATATTATGGATTATTAGATTTTGTATTTCGAACTTTTAAATTTTATGTTAGGATATTGGAGTACGTAATTCGAAGTTTCGAACATTGAAATTTGTGTATATTTTTTTAAATTAATAATTTGAAAATGAAAAAAAACGAGTACCGGATACCCGATTACCAAATACCCACAACATCTGGGTCGGGACATGAACCGAGAAATCACCAATTCGCATGTTCTGGGTACCCGAATTTGCACACCCTTGATAAAATCTCAACCACTCTTCAATATTTTTCAAATATAAAATAATTTTTTAAATATTCAATTTTTATTTAATTATTTGTATTATCCAACAATACTTACTATAGATTAATAAAAAATTTGACATAAATATATCCATACCACGAATGTGCGATAAAGTGTAAATAGTTTAGCATGTCCTTGAATTTAAAATTAATTTTGTGTTTGTCATCAAATTTTACTGCATTGAGTATTGACCCGATCCGATAACTATTTTTGATCTCCCTAAGTATGAAACTCATCGGGGGACATCTCGAAGTCGAAACATTGCTGAAAGAGAAAGCCAAAAATGTCTGCAACTCAGAGTCAGCACGTGCTTCGCTTGGTTCTCTCCTGCCGAAGCATCAAGGCTCACGTGACTCAGCCGGGGACCTCCTACATCGTCGCCATGGCCTCCTCCACGGAGCAAGAATTCCTCATCCAATACCGATCCAAGCTCGACCAATTCCCCCGCTCCCGCCGCTTCTGGGACGCCAAAGTCGCCTCCAGAGTCGGCGAGAAACTCGGCTTCCGCTTGAAGGAAATCGGCATCCGAAACATCGCCATCGACGTCGATGAAGAGATCTCTAGACCATTTGACCGCCGTAGATTGGTTTTGCCGGTCTTTGATTCGTTACGCCGCGTTGGGGTTGATATCGACGGCGCCGAGAGATTGAGCGAAATCGGACCTAGACAGGGTTAGTCTTTTCACTGCTCAATGATTTTTGCCCTAATTTCTGTAGTAAAAGAATTTTTGGGTCCTTTTATTTGCAGAGATTAGACTTCTGAATAAAATCTAGCGTGATCCAAATCTGGTGCTTGTAAAACCCTAACTTTGATATCTTCTTTTCGATCATATTGGCATTTTAAATAATATTGGCATATTGCTTGTAGCAATTTTCAAAAGAACTGAACTGTTGTAAGTTTTAACATTTTTTTTTATTTATGTTTCATATATGTATTCATTATTGAACTCAACCTGCAAGTAAAGCTTGTAGAATTCATCTTTGAGGAGATATATGAATATACTATTGAGCTATATGTTCGGGTGAAACTTGCTCCATTTTTTATTTTAATTAAATATTTGAATATCTGAGAAAAGCTTGTAGAATTCTTCTTTGAATAGGTTTATATGAACATACTGTTGAGCTAGATGCTCGGGTGAAACTTGCTTTAAATGTTATCATTGAACTACATGGCTTAGTTAAGCTCGCAGAATTCATCTTTGAATACGGGTATTTGTACATATTGTTGACCTAAATGTTTGGGTTGAACTTTCTTAATAATTTGTCGTGAAACTAAATGTCTGAGTTAAGCGCATTATTCATTTTTGAATAGAGATATCTGAACATACTATTGGTCTGAATTTTCAGGTGAAATTTGCTGAATAAGTTATTTTAGAATTAAATGTTCAAGTAGAGCTTATGGAATTCATTTTTTAAAAGAGATACATGAACATGCTATTCAGCTTAATATTTGATGAAACTTGCCCATAATTTACCACTGAACTAAATGTGCAAATAAAGCTTGTAGGATTCATCTAAAAATGATAACTGATCACACTATTGAATTCATCTAAATGTCTGAGTAAATCTTATTGAATTCATCTTTGAATAGGGGTATATATACATACTATTGAGCAATTTTCAGGTGCAACATGCTCCATAACTTACTACTGAACTAAGTGTCCAAGTAATTCAGTTCTGAACAGAGGTATGTTTACTTGCTAAATGTTTGACTTAAAACTTGCTTGAGCATCCTATGCTGAACATGTTAATAAAATGTTTATGACCCATTGCAACTCAAAATGCTGAGTCTAGTTTCCAGCCCTTCTACTAGATTGAGAAGTAATTAAGTTTTTGCTAGATTTTGACACATCCACATTTTCTATGTGGGTGCAAAAGAAAAAGAGATGAAGTTACTTGATCTGTTAGTGAGTAGTTTTGAAATAAATAAATTAAGGGGGTGTGTGGGGGGGGGGAGAAAAAGAAAACATAACTATTTGTTCTTGCATACTTTTATTACTATTTCATATTAATTTTTAAGTAATGGTGTTATTTCACTCGTAATGCCAGCTAAATTTGAAGTATTAAGAATAGTATTGATATACGATTTTTTTAGAAAGAGACAAGAGAAGGGAATTGTGCTTTTAGTATTGATCATATAATTGTAGAAGATTTTAATAGGACTCAAATCTTCAAAGATCTCGGAACCAAGTCTTTCTAGCAGGTGATATTGTAATCAACCTTTTTAGGGAGTTGAACCATATTTTCCATACCTATTATTTCCCTTTTTAACATGGTAAATGTTAACACAAAAAGTGATTGTTAATAGCTTGGGTGCTTATTTATAGGTGACTTTGAGTTTCTGATATTTGAGATTCTGAGTATATTCTTTCAAGGAGTTTGGCAGTGATATTTTTTTAGTTTTGCTAACTAGTGAACATATGACACCCCCTGAGCTTAGTTGATAACACTATTTTATATTAATAATATTTTCTTATTATTATTAAATGCAATTGTTGGCAACTTTGTTCATCTTTTTCAATACATTGGATGTAAATATTACTAATCTTAAAGAATGCCATTAGGTTTCTCGTCAGAAAAATCGTATTTGTTTATCCACGAGATAGTAATTCCTAGGAATTGTGCAAAGCCAGCTTGATAATCTCTTATTTCTGTTTGGAGGAAATCTATCTACTCTAGTTTCAATGGAATTTAGGACAATTCCAAGTCTTGATATGAACCTAAAGGAGAATGTGGAATCCATGGACCTTGATAAACAATTTTGACCGTCCATGGTGTGTCTATAAATCCATAAGGCAGGGTCTTTTTTCTTCATTTTAGTATTCTAAACGGTTGTCATGCTTGTGAGCACTGAAATAAACTTGGCAGCTGCTACTCTATATGTGCTTGACAAAACAGTCTCCGGGATGTCTATATCTGCTCCTCAATCATTGGAACTGCCTTCATGCGATTATGTCCACTACCTTGTAAGGTACTGTCCTCTTCTATCCAAAAATAACCTGATAGAAAGATGGTGTGAACACTTATATCTCCATTGAAATTTTAGTACATAGTCGATGCGGATTCATGGATCCATGCTGGACAATGACACTACACGTAGCTCAAAATCGAGTTTGACAGAACCTCTAGTGCGTCATGGTAGTCATGGGTTTTACATCAGCCGTGTATTGGTTGGGATGTAGGCATTCACAAGACCATCTTGTAAGATACTTTTCATTGATAAAATTGTGAGACCTAACATGTCAAAGTGGACCATACAGGTTGGTCTAAACCATCACAGAGTCTTCGTTAGCCACTTTGGAACCATCCATTTCTATTTACATGCCAAAATTCATTAGAAGTTATACCCTATCTACCGACTTCCATCGCAGCACAGCAATGGTGCCTAAAGCTTCTAGTCAGCCAATTTGTATTACGAAACCCAGATCCCAAACTCCAGTCTCCAAGGGCATCCTCTCCTCCACGCTGTTCGCCAAGGTTGACCCTGCCTTAATTCCCAACCGTCTTCCTTCATCTCTGCCTAGTCCAATAAGCATAACCTAAGATAAGAATTGTAATCAAGTTATAGGTTCCATCCGAATTAGATCAAGCCTAGATAATTCGTCTTTGTTTTTCTTAACATTACAAAGCGTACAAATTGGGGGAGGGGTGTTATGGCCAGAACTTGAATCCTGAATACAGGTTTCACCACTTGCTCTTTTAAATTATTGGCTAAAAATTATATTTAGAATTGTTAGTCCAACTCAAATCACCATTGAATAAATATTGTTTAGATTAACTTTTAAGGTATGCTTGGAGTAATAGTTCCACTCAATTCAGCGGGAGCTTCTAATTTAAAAAATTAAAACGCATCAAGATTAATTGTTGCTTAATTGTTTTTCAAATCTCAATCCCTATCAGAATTGGAGCAAATAATTGAGATACTTCAAAGTGAAAATCATCGATTGTATACAAATAATTAGATGGGCTTTCAAGTACCCCTCATGACTTAATGTAAAAATATTTTTTACCGACATGGCATATAAATTATATCTAAAAATGTCAAATGATTAAGGGCTCGATATTACTATAAATAATGTACATAATATAATTAATCTATCATGCCTTCTAATAGCATTTATATTACAATGATGAAGCACATAACTCACATATCTCATATTTCGAGCATGATTCAACTTAGTCTAAACCATAATTCGGACTCCAATAAACAAAGCATACATGAAACATAACATAACTAAATAACTGATCAATTTTACCAAAGATTATTTAGTGTCATATGAATGATTCATCAATGATGGAAATTACTCATCTCCACTTATGTGATTGTTGCATCCGATGTCTAATTACCAGAAGTATTTGTTGGTTGACTCTTTTTCCATCAGCAATGATGTATCTCCGACTTGCTCTCCCTCATTTTATATACAATTGGACTTCTCCCCATGTGCACTTGACAAAGTTGTTCAACACTCGGACTTGTAATTACCATACTTTTTTGCTGATTTGGCTTGATAATCACCTCGTCTTCTTCCCCATGTTCTATTGATTATCGTAGTTTCCCCTACCATCTCGGCCTCTGTTGTCGTTTCCATTTGATCCCTGTCTTTCTTCTTTAAATAATCTAACGACACTTATAACTCTGCATTATCTTACTGCAACTCTTTTCTTTCATGAATCAATATATGACCCTTGCAATTCATCGATAGATAAAATATCAATATTTTTTAACCTTTCAATTGAGCAAACCACATAATTGAACTTTAGTGTCATTGAGTAAAGATTTTTTTCAACTACAATTTTTTTAATGGTTTAAGATGATTATAAGGTAATATCTGCTAATAGCTTTCTTAACCTATATACAAAGCATACATATTTTGCAAACGTCACTTCTTCAATCCAATACCTCTAAGAAAATCAACATTATCCTATATCACTAAAACCACCTGATAGGTTCAAAATGACAAATCTTATTTGTACAAAACTAGCATAGGTTATTTTGTTACCGTTCACCTTTTTACAGCTATGATAGCGCTATTATTGTAATGTAAGAAATAAAACAACAACATAAATAAAAATGAAAGAAGGGAGAATTTGAGAGGAATTCAACTTGTTTAAGCAAGAGCTTCTTTAAATAGGTTATGCAAGAGCAAACAGAAAAACATGAAACTAACAACTAAACTTTTAGAAAGCATAATAACAAAAATCAAAATCAACTAATGCCCGTAGGCGTTTTTACCCAAAAATCAACTAAAGAATCAATAATTACCTATCAGACACCTATTCACTAAATTTTATCGAGCTAACACTCATTTGTTGACATGGACGGAAGGCGCAGATCATCAAGCACGCCTTCCTGGGTTTTCGTCCGAGCTAGTGCCACGCAGGTAAAGCGCGGATCACTGTCAGCGTCTTTCTGGGTTTTCATTCGAGCTGGCGCCATGTGGCAAAAATATGGGTCACCATCTGTGCTTCGTGGGAAACCTGACACGCGACGAAAGGCGCAGATTCTTGAAAATTATTTTCACATTCTTCCTTCTATCAAACTAAATAGATTTTGTTATAGTTCTTAAAAGTTAATTTTTTTATTATATTATATTTAATTATTTGACCAATTTTTTTAATAACTATTTTGTATTTCTTTTTGCGGTTGTAAAATGGAATGCGGGATCAACTCTCGAGATATTTTGTCGATACTGTAATAATATTAAATTGTGTTTTTAATTTACTATGAAACTTTTTTTAATTTTTTAGCATTAGTTTATATTTTAATTCGAATACTATTTATTTAATTAGGCGTATTTCAGCTATTGTTTTTGCAGTTATAAGACTTAATATTTCAAACTTTCAAACTCTCAAAATGAGGCGTATTTCAACTATTGTTTACTGTGATGGAGAAATTTAAGAAGATGAAACCAGTGTTGTATTCGCATCAAATCATTCTGTCAGAATATCCTTTAAGAGAAACATCACTCTTGAGGAGTTGATTACTAAAA